TGATACGACCCAGGGAAGGAGGACTATTTAACAATATGTCAGAGTCTGGTTAACATTCTTAGCACAAGGATGGAGGGTGTGATTACGACAGCGTGTAGTGTAAGGGGTTTTTATGAATGCCGCTTAAAGGAGCATACCAGACTACATCTAAATAAGCACGGTAAAAATTGTGACGGTGAAGGTGTGATAGGAGGATATAGGAAATGTGAGTAGCCTAGGGCAGAAGGGGAGATAGCACAATTGTTTAGCACACTTTTGATTAAAGGATAGGCTTACTTGTCTCTTTGACGAGTTGCTGTATGGTGCTAAGAATGGTGAGACTCAATAATGATGTCGGCCAAACGTTTGGGAATGTACAACGTCCAGGGTTCGACTTTGGAAAGTACAGACTAGGTGCGTTTGCTAAGTCTTCCTACATATTTGACCGAGTTGCGAAAACAAGGTCAAACAACCTCTATACAATGTAAGGAGACTGCGACCACACAAAAGGCCACACCATCTTGGTCTTCATACTTTCCCTTACTTTATATACTTGCTCTGTAATTGTGCTTTCTCTGATAACCCAATATATATCATAAATTGAAGTGGGTTGTCTGTTTAACTTTTACTTAATAGGTTTGTATTTCTCTGTATTTTTAGGGAAGAGAGCGAATCTGTATTGGAACTGAAAGGACTCACACCAAACGGAATGCTTCCGCTTGGGGCTTTATCCGGCGGCAAAGAATCTTTGCATACAGGCAAGCTCACTCTTTCCTCTTGATTATTCCAGATGAATCAGAATTCACTAATATATATATATATATTTATTTATTTATTTAACTGAATTCCCTACATATTCTAATCTGCTTTCTTTTTCCTGAGCTTGTTCAGTCTTTATTGATCTATAGAAATTTGGATTTGTAGATAAGCCTGTTCATTCTAATCTTCTTAATAACAGAATTGCTTAATTTACTGTGCATATTTTCAGATTCAGATTTAGTTGAAGAACTCTATATTATCAAGCAACTTTCTAGACCTTGCATAGACACAAATCTATGCTTTTGTGAAATTGGGAGACAGAATAAACCTGATACATATTTAGCTCAATTTCTTTATGATAGCTGTAGTCTTGGTTCACTGCACAGCTTCTATTTTTTCCTGCATACCTATAAGAAAATCGTTATGTTGGCTTACATGCAACTCATTAATAATGCATTCTAAATATTCCTAGATTTCTAATGTTTTTTTGTTTCCTTGATAAGCCCCTCGATAGATTCTTATGTCAACTGGTTTGGTGCTCATCACACTTGTCATATTTTGTATGTGACTATTCTTTATTTGAAATATGAAGAGAAGAGTTAAGATCATTAAAACTATTTTAATCAATTTCTAAGTTAATGTTAACAGTTTCTTGTTAAGGCTTGCTGGATAAAGCAATGACGTGGTTCAACTAGCTAATCTTGTCATGCCTGAGTAAATAAGCAATAATTTAAAGAAACCTTTTACTGCATAAACAATATGATGACTACCAAGGCTAATTTTATCATATTCTCCCTCAGCTCTCCTACGCTATTTTTACTCTCTTGCTTTTCTAATTTATTTATATAAACCGCTTACTTCTATTTTATGCTTCAGCTCTTTCTGGCATTTCTCCACATCACAAGATCACTTCGTTTGCTGAGGCTAAAGCGATCGATCAGATCAATGAGCGTATGCCCCCTCGTCGTGATGCCGTTTCTTTAGGCTCCGCTTTCTCTGTTAGTGGCAGCAATACGGTGTCCGCTGCAGTCACTTCCACTCGCGGCACTGGCTCATTTAAGGCATCTGGTAGTAGCAGCTTTGGTGGTAATATAGGAGAGTCTATGGCTCGAAAACCAATTCCGACAGTATCTGAACCAATCGAGGCTTTGGTGGCTTCAAGTGGTTCTACAAGCATTCGAGGATCTCCTAATGGTGTTTCTTCTAGCGCCAACAGTCGGACATCTGGGGACGGCACAATCACAGGTTCAGTGCGGGGTTCTACAATGACTTCGGGGTCGGTCTCGGGGGCCGGTAATGCGGGCGAAAGTGCAACCAGTGCCGGATCGAGGGTCAAATAGTCATCGTAATGGTTGTTTATACGGGAATAAGCTCAACCACAATTTTATTCTGACAAGTGTCTCGAAGATAAAGCACTGGCTATTCTGAGCTCACTGCTTGGGGCTTTGTCCAAGGCTTTGAATCGCCAGTTTATTCTCCCTTTCGTCATATTGTATCCTTTCTTTCCTCCTTCCCAAAAGCATGTAAACACACTTT